AGCCTGCTTCTCCCTATCACACTCCCCCTGCTTGTGTTCCCTCTCTCGCTGTGTCTCTCTCTGTCAAACAAATAAAATCTTTAAAAAAAAAAAAAAAGGATGATAATATGGTCCCTCTTGTGCTCATGTTCTTTCCTTTTTTAATTAGAGGTGAACTGTAAAATAACAGGGAAAGTTTGGAAAATCACATTAATATTTTTACTTATATACAGCTTACATTTACATGTTCTCTTCTAGTCTTTTAATATACATGTTTTTAAACCTAATTAAGATATTCAATTGATATATTGTTTTATTTTCCTTAATGTTAGATATAAATTTCTAGTCTACAGTACTTAGTGTTATCTCTTTTGTATCCTGTGTCAATTTTAGTTCTGGAGTCAGGGCTAAAAGATATCAGATTTTGTGAAAATAAGTCTAATTATCTTAATTATAGGTTTTTTTCCCCTTAACCTCTTTCAGCGCCTGAACTCTGCCATTATCTATGACCGAGATTTTTCTTACAACTACTTTGGATTTAAGGTAAATAATGGGCTTTAATAAGTGGGAATTCCTCCTTAAATCAGGATATACAGGTTTTTTGTTTATGTTTTAGTGATATGATTATAAAGGCAGTAAGTTTTGGGAGTCGGGATGGACCTGGGGTGGGGATTAGGTTAGGGTGGTGGTGGTTGTTTGAATTAAGGAAAGATAGCTTATCCATTTGCAGTTTTTGAATTTTCCAAATGCTACCCGTGGATTACTTGAGGAATTATATAGATACTTTGCTAGAATTATTCCATATTATTCTATTTATATAACAACTGTTTATTGAATTCCTACTATGTGCAAAGTGCTTTTTTAGGTACTTTTGTGTTGATAAACAGTATTGTGTAGTGATTGAGAACATGAGTGTTGTTGTCAGACCGTCTGAGTTCAGGTCTCTGCTCTATTTCTTATTAGCAAGTTACTTAATCTCTCTGCTTCGGTTTCCTCATCTTTAGGATGGGGATAATAATAAAATTTCAACAATAAATTCTCTTGAGAATTAAATGAGTGTGAATGTGTGTGTGTGTGTGTCTGTGTTGCTTACATCAGTGCCTAGCCTTAGAATAACACTTCATAAGTGTTAACCATAAAGATGATGATGATGATGAATACCACAACTTCTGCAATTAACATTATACATATTAATACAGAGCTGGCTTTTTCCAGGAATTTTCATGTAGTCTTTTCCAAAACAAACAGCCAACTGATAATGTTCCAGATTGAAGCCAGTAAGATATGCTATTCCTTTCATTTAAAATCATATAAAAACTGAGAATATTTAAATAGATTGCCTTGGGGCGCCTGGGTGGCTCAGTCGGTTAAGTGTCTGCCTTCAGGCTCAGGTCATGAGAGTCCTGGGATCAAGCCCAGCGTCCGGGCTTCCTGCTCAGTGGGGAGGCTGCTTCTCACTCTCCCTCTGTCCCTTACCTCCCTGCTCTGTCTGGTTCTCTTGCGCACGCGCACTCTATCTCTCTCTCTCAAATAAAATCTTAAAAAAAAAATAGATTGCCTTATTGTGAAAGATATATCCATTGTGTCTTTAAAAACTGTGCTCTGGAAGTGTTTTGGTTGCTTTGGTTTTTCTAGACGCTGGAGCGATCCTATTTGTTGAAGATCAATGGGAAAGGTGAGAAATGAACATGTTTGTTTTATTTTCTATCCATTATATTGAATATAGAGCTCTGAGCTATTAGCCTTAACATTTCTATTTAAACACTAACATTTTTAACTTTAGGTTTGGCTTTTGAATAATTGTTGGCGCTTATTGGTAGAAGTTTTTTAAATTGTCTTTTGGTATTCCTTTTTGACTCAGGTACATGTCTCAGCCTAGTCTTTCTGACATGTCCCATCATTTGAAACTCCTTTTGTTTTTAGTGGCAGAAAGACCACAACATATGTTGATGAGGGTGTCTGTGGGGATTCACGCAGAAGATATTGATGCTGCTATTGAAACATACAACCTTCTTTCTGAGAAGTGGTTTACCCATGCCTCTCCCACTCTCTTCAATGCTGGTACCAACCGCCCACAGCTTTCTAGGTATGTGTCATCTCCAGTCGTTTTTAATGTTCTGAAATGGTTTTTTTTTTTTAAAGATTTTATTTATTTGACAGAGAGAGACACAGCGAGAGAGGGAACACAAGCAGGGGGAGTGAGAGAGGGAGAAGCAGGCTTCCCGCGGAGCAGGGAGCCCGATGCGGGGCTCGATCCCAGGACCCTGGGATCATGACCTGAGCCGAAGGCAGACCCTTAACGACTGAGCCACCCAGGCGCCCCTGAAATGGTTTTGATTAGGGAAATAAACCTTGACCTGAAGAAACAAGGCAGTTAATCACATAAAAATTAATTTAATGAACATTGAATCACTCCTGCTCTGATCAAATGAGATTTGTGTCCTGGAAAGCTCTGCTGCAGTTTGGTAAATGAATTGGAGAAACAAATGCTGATAATGAAATTTTTAAGTTAACTGTGATGATGTTTGCACAACTCTCTGAATATACTAAAAGCCATTCATTATACACTTTAAATGGAGAACTGTATGGTATGTGAATTACATCTTAATAACATTGTTTTAAAAACAAATACCAAAAACTAATTATGGGACTCTTAATAGTCTATACAAGAGATTGTGGTAGTTTGGATTAGGGAAGTGAAGTAGAGATTGAGAGAGTAGACAGATTCAGGAGCTATTTAGGAGGTAAAATTGACAGAATTTGGTGATGTTTTGGATGTGGGTCAAGGTTCGTTCCTGAGTTTATGGGTAGAGTAACAGGATTAATGGTGATGCCATTTTCTGAGAAAAGGAACACTGAAACAGAATCCAGTAATATGTTAAAAAAAAAAAAAAACACCCCTTAGCAACATTAGTGTATCCAGGAATTCAAGGATACGCTACATAAAAAACTGCATTAATGTAATCCATTGCACTAACATATTATACCATCAAATACTCTTTCATAATAAAACAAATTTAACAAAATAGATACAGAAAATAACTTTCTTAATTTGGTAAGAGATATCCACTAAAAACTTAGATCTCTGTCATCTCTGTTTTCCGCATTGTAGTGGAGGCTTGAGCCGGCATTATAAGATAAGAAAAAAACGGATTGTAAATGAGGGAACAAAACTTGTAGTGATTCACAGGTGGTATGGTTTTTACATAGGAAATTCAAGAGCATCTACACATAAATTATCAGAATTAAAAAGAGATTTCAGCAAAGTATCTGGATATAAGTTCAATACGAATGAAGGAAGTATCTCTAGCTTTAGAAGATTTAAGTTTTAAAATATATCATTTATAATACTGGAAGGTACCCAGGAATAAATCTAATAAAAGATGTGGAAGACTTTTAAGGAGAAAATTCTAAAACAGGACATTAAAAAACATTTAAGGACATTAAAAAACAAATGGAGAGTGATTTTATATCATAAATGGATTTGATATTATAAAGATGTCAGTTTTTCCTAAGTTAACTTATAGATCCAGTCAAAATGTCAATATGCTCATTCCAAAATTATTGCAGAAGAGCAAAAGGCTAAGAAAAATTTACTAGGCTTTTCAAGATACCAGTTCTAATCCTTGGAACCTGTAAATGTTAACTTATAAGGAAAAATGGTCTTTGAAAGTATGATTAAAAAGGATCTCGACATAGGGAGGTTAGCCTGAATTATCCAGGTGGGCCATAAATCCAGTCAGAAGTACCCTTAGAGAGGCTGAGGGAGTAAGGTACATACAGAAGAGAAGAGGCAAGGTAAAGATGGAGGCAGAAATGGGAGTGATGTGGCTACAAGCAGAGGAGCCACTAGAGGCTGGAAGAGGCAGGGATCTGTTTTCCCCTAGAGCCTCTGGAGGGAGTGTTCTTGATTCTGGCCCAGTGGAACTTACATTGAACTTCTGGCTCTGGAATTATGAGAGAATAAGTTTCTGTTTTAAGCCATCAGGTTGGTGGTAATGTGTTAGGGCAGCCACAGGAAACTAACATAAATTGCAATAGCAAGTTTTGAAGAGTAAGTCCTACCAGGTTTCAAGACTACCGTAATGCCATGGTAATTAAGACAGTGTGGTATTTACTCTGAGATAAACAAATAAACCGGTGGAGTATAACAGAGAGCCCAGAAAGAGATTGAGGCTTATATGGGAAGGTGTCGTTGCAGTTCGTCTGGGGGAAACGGTGCTAGGGAAATTGGTTATCTTATGGGGAGGAAAGGTAATTAGATTTCCCTTTTTCATTCCATATAGAGAAATATGTTCAAGAAAGAAATTTTATTTATTTATTTATTTTAAAGATTTTATTTATTTATTTGACAGAGAGTGAGCTAGCGAGAGCAGGAACACAAGCAGGGGGAGTGGGAGAGGGAGAAGCAGGCCTCCCGCCAAGCAGGGAGCCTGACGTGGGGCTTGATCCCAGGACCCTGGGATCATGACCTGAGCCGAAGGCAGACGCTTAACCTGAGCCACCCAGGTGCTCCCAAGAAAAATATTTAAATATGAAAGTAAAATCTTTTAGAAGAGCATTAGAGAAAATAGATAAATGTCTATTTTTCTCCCTACTTTTTACTATGAATTTCAAATATTCAGAAAAGCTTAGGGGCGCCTGGGTGGCTCAGTCCTTAAGCGTCTGCCTTCGGCTCAGGTCATGATGGGGATTGAGCCCCGTGTCGGGCTCCCTGCTCCGCGGGGATTAATTAAAAAAAAGAAAAAGAAAAGCTTAAAGATAGTGAATGCCCATACACTTACTTACCTCTGTCTAGATAAAAATATTACTACCATTTTGCCATATATATATATA